AGCCAGAGGCGGGAGGCAATACAGATTCGGTCCATCTCTCAAGCCTGTAGAGAAGTTACCATACGAGATGACCATGGAGGAAAACTCGAAGATCGTTGAAGGGCAAGTGAAGGACTTCTTTGAAAAGCAAAGAGCTATGAAACATCCACCTCCGGAGGAGAAGATAGATTCGGTGAAAGCAAAGCGCACTATCAATGCCCTGAAGCGACCACCACCGCCTTCGCCGAATAACAACCATCTCCGCTGTCTTAAAAAGACATTGCAAGAAGTGCGCCGGTCGGGAAGTACTTCAAGTGACAAAAGGTTAAAAGAACGAAGATGTGGGAAAAAATTCCCCAGCTCGGAGAACAGGAGAACCGATCATCCCCCCCCCCTCGCTCAAGGTGTCTAGCAATATCATCACAAATCAGGCGTTGATGCTGCCCAGTACCAATCCTGGTGATTACCTGTCCGATGATGTACATTTTGATACAATGGAGGTGGACGAATTCAAATACCACTACGGGAAGCCTCTTGTCAAAGATGGAACTCTTGCTCCAAAAACAATGATGCGAAGATTCCATGAATGATACATGAAAACCTGCAGCGAGTCTGGGAAGGATGCTTTGTCGATGAGCATTAAAGAGGACCACGACTTCATTGGCCAAGAACTGTTAACTGTTGGTTTTGACGAGTTTTTCCAGTTCTACAATCAAAAGGCCCTCAACAAATCACTTGTGGCTTGCTACTGTCTGTAAGTACTACTTTCTGTAGTTAAGTCTCTCTATATAGCTCAGCTCTTTCATTGCATGTATATATAATTATCCTCACTATATTATACAGATTGAAGATCGTCGAATGTAGAAAAGCACAAATCTATGAAATTGGGTTCATTAACCCAAATGTCATACATGAATGGACGGTTCAAAAGAATGTCACAGAAGCTGAGGACAACTTGCTACAATCGTTGCTCAAAAATCGAAGCAAAGATAAAATACTCTTTTCTTAGGACTTCAAGTGAGTGTTACTGTCTTGTGCATATTCGGTTTCCCTTATTACTCGAGGTTATAGTCATGTAACTGATGAGTTGTGCATGCGCGTGCAGCTTCCACTTTATTCTCCTAGTGATTAATTAAGCTTGAGCAGGGAGAAGTAACCATCTTAGACTCGAGACAAAAAGATCTCGAGGACTATGCGGACATTACTCGAATGCTCCAGAAGTAAGTTCAATTGATCATTACCGCACCATATCGGCAACTTTGTTCATTTCCTGATATCAAATAATTATTTTCTTTGTCTGGCAGGGTTTGAAAAGAGTTCACCGCAATTTCTCTGGGACTGCCGACCGAGCTGACAATTAAACACCCGAAAGTAAGTACTACTACCTAGTACCGCGCATCTCCCATTGATTCTAACTAGTTTCATCAATACCATTTAGCATGCTTGCTTATCAGTTTGATTGACCTCTATTTCTCGTAAAGTGTTTGTGGCAGGAACAAGGAAATGCTTTCTGTGGATGCTACGTTTGCGAGTTCATCTACAATGAGACGGCCAAGTGTTTGTGAAAAACAGTATGAAGTGCGTAAGCAAAAATATTCACAATTGTATTTTATTACCATCATTTGTGTTGAGTTTCATTCATACACATATATTGACCCTCTTCTTCGATTTAGACCTGGCAGTTGCGGGATGAGCTCCTACCACATGATCACATAAAAGCAATTCAAGAGGAATTGGCGAGATTCTTTATTGACCACGTCATCAATAAAGTCGGAGAATACCATGTGGAACTTGACTTCAGATATTACGGATTGTAATAGATCTTATATTGTATATATGTAGCTCGTCGCGTAGATATACGAAAACTTGTTGTTCGACCAATCTCTCGGAGAAGGAGAGGTCGATCACTTCTCTCTGTATATGTTCATGGCGATCTTTTGTACTTAATAGTTTCCTTCATTTTCTTACTAGCTAGCATGTCGAGTCCTCTCTATAGTATAGTACGTAGCGTCGACCAAGCACGGAGATAAGAGAGGTCACTTCTCTTTATTAGC